AGGGCGCACCTGTGTGTGTGTGCAGCAGGGGCAATTGCATGCCCCCAGTGCCTGCACAGACGTCGCTCATCCGCACATTGCACCATAAACCACGCATCGCACAGGTGCGCCGCAAGGATAATACGCAGTCATAAAAAAACTCCCTGATGAGCCATAACAGAAGAGAGAACGAACAAAACGAAGGGGAGGGAGAGGGAGGGAGGGGGACGCTTGAGTTGAAACAGACGGTGAATAATGGTGGTAGCTCCAGGAGATCAGCTCAAGCGGGCACACTGCTGATAGAGAACAAAGCGGGGTTTGGAAAATAGAAATGATACAGTTGCGAAAAAACAGAGGTCCGGCTAGCCATGTTACCAATAAAGGGCCTTCGACACGCATTAGTGGAACCCTTGGGAAGACTACCGATCCCTCCTGAATGGCATGAATAGAGACATCTGAGCAATCCACTTCACTCAGGAACTCGAAAAAATCAACCTGCTCACAACGACAGGTAAGAACCAAAGTTAGCTGTGTCAATACAGTCGGAATTTTCCATGTGAAGCTAGTAGCCCTGTTGCTTAAAAGGTTCAAACTGTGAAGGCACACAGTATGCTTCGGGATTTCCATATGTCGTTCTTGTATTTCAGTTCCGTTTTCCTTCTCTTCATTATTTTACCTTTTCATTCCCTTTTCTTTTCCCTCTCTTGATGTTCTTTGCCAGGGTAACAATTTCCAGCCCATTTGCTTGGACACCCACGATACACTATACTTTCGCACCAGGCTAATGTTATGAACTTGGTTGTCTGACGATTTTTACCGCCACTCACACACAGACAATCTCATACACRYCCATRCATGCATAAGAGAAGGGGGAGAGGAGACAGAGTCCACACTGCACACAGATCAGAGTAGGCAGCGGAATACAGCTATGCACAGATGGGGAGAAGACACACAGTGTTTCTCCAGTGTTTCTCTCTCTCTGACAAACTCCCAACCACCAATCACAAGTAGAACCTGCAAGGATAACAATTGAAATTGCACTGATGATGAGCCAACTCAAACAATTATCGTAACAGAGTTTGTTCCAGTATCTTGCACTGATGATGAGCCAACTCAAACAATTATCGTAATAGAGTTTGTTCCAGTATCTTGCCACTCTCAGAACTCACACCCCACTCTCTATCCTACACCCAGTTAGTAGCGCCACATCAGAATGGCCTCCCATGGGCCAGCGCCAACCACCCTGATGAAGAACAGGTCCTGCGATGAAGTCTTCAGTGCCGATGGACAACTCGGACGAAGGAACAGGCAGCTATGGCTGCCACCACCCATGAGTACACAGTGTAGAGCCTCGATGTAGCCCGGTCAGACGCAGATACCCCAGGGGTAGACGCGCGGAGGATGCCCCAGCTATTGCAGACTCAGACTGGGCCGGCTATGGCTGCTGTCAACAGCGAGGTCTCAGGATGATGCCTGCAGACCGTCACCGCCACCAACTTGCTTGGCTTCTCCAACGCTGCTTCGCGAGAAATGAACTGCCAGAAGTCCTGAACCGATGGGCCTAACCTATCTATAGACTACACTAGACCTAGACCGGACTGACTGACCGGCCGGTACCGTTGCTGTTTCAGCCTCTCGGCCTCTACCGGACCCGGCTATAGGCAATAGGACCGTCTATCAGTATAGGCCACTTAGGGCCTTTCTGTCCTAGGGGTAGCCCGGGCCTGCTATACGCAGTTAGGGTAGCTGTAGGAATTCGAGTCCGTACTGGGCCTATTTTCCCCCGGATTTGCAGATATGTCCCTCACGAATTTCCTTACAGGTAGGTCTCTCGGTTAGCCCTCAGCCAAACAAAATTGTGAATCTAACCTACTGCTGTACTATACAGCCTCGCAGTCAGTCTCGGCAGTAGAAATCAGCAAGTCATTGCAGGCTTACCCTCCTCAGGAGCGAGGACCTCCGAGCTAGGGGTGTAGGCGAGGTGAAGGGCGAGGAAGGTTTCCATTCTGAGCCGCTTCATATCGCAAGACAACTGACTTTGCTGTCTTGAAAAGTTCCCTTTTGTAGAACCATTTGTTCTCAGAAGGAGGCTGGAATGCGAACCTCACAAGATACTGCCGGTCGGGGCAGGTGCCCCACTCATCCTCAATCCATTCCACGTCATATCCCTTACCAGGATCGGTGGACCAAACAGAGGGGGCCGGTCTGGGAATGCATCAGCTGGAGTGAAAGGTAACAGCTTGGATGCATGAAAGACCGGGTAGGTGCATAGATGCAGCGGGACGTCGATAACGTATGACGAACCGAAGCGATCAGCGCCCACTGTATCTAGGACCTGCCATGGACCCAGGTAACGTGGCAACAGCTTGGGGGAGATATCCTCCTCCCTAGACAGCTCAAAACTGGCCACCCAGACATAGTCACCAGTGCGGATGGGGAAGGCCGCCTGTGGCGATTCGCTTGTTCAACCATAGCCTTTTGGGCTTTGAACAAGTTCGCGCGGGCTCTTTCCACATCTAGACGATAGCGTCTGGTGAAATCTGTTGTGCCTGGTGTCAGATCAGGCTTAGCCTTATCGATGATGTCATCGAGAGGCTGTCGTGGTTCACGTCCCCAGTGTAACCAGTAGGGACTGAACCCTGTCGAGGAGTGGACAGACATGTTATACATGAGTTGTGCCCTAGCCAAGTGAAGATCCCAGTCCTGCTGATCCGGCGAGATGACAGGACGCAGCAATTGGAATAAGACTTGGTTCATCACCTCAGCCTGACCATTGGCTTCAGGGTGATGACCAGAAGTCATGTCCAATCGTGAGTGCAGGTAATCCTTACAATAGGACTGCCACTCATCGCTGCAAAATATGGGATCTCTGTCGCTGACTATAGAAGCGGGCGGTCCATGGTGAGTGACCCACCTTTCAGAAAAGGCTGCTCTCACAGCCGGAACCCTAGCTACCTCTGGCAAGGGGATGAACTCTGCGTATTTGGAGAACCTGTCCACACAGACCATAACCTGACGCATGCCACGAGGGGTGGTCTTGCCTAAATCTGTGAAATCTATCGCCACAGATTCAGCAGGGCCATCAGGTATGGGCAAAGGTTTGAGCAGTCCCAAAGGAGGTCTACGGTGGACCTTATTCCTTTGGCAGAGCTCACAGGTGTCCACATAGCGCAGCATATCACTCCGCATCTCCTTCCAGAAGAAGCGTTGCAACAGGGTTGCATAAGACTTTAGGAACCCAAAATGTCCACGGGCATCATGACACTCTGACATCAGCAGTGTCTGAGTCGCTGGTCCTGGGAAATGCACAAGCGTTCCTCACCTCTGCTGTAAGTGTACAGCAGGTCTGAACTCAGAGCATAGCGTGGTTCCGAGTTAGGATCTGCTTGCAGATTCCTGACAATGGGTCTGAAAGTCTCATCTTGAGGCAGTAGACGAGCAATGGTCTGACGGGTCTCCTCTCCAAAGGAGTGAGTAGAGGAGATCAACGCAAAAGAGTCAGGCCTACGACAGAGGGCATCTACTACCTTGTTGTAGCAACCCTTCTTATGCTTCAGTTCAAAGTCAAACATGTCAATGAACTGAATATACCGTGCCAACTTATCATTCAACTCTCCCTGGGACTTCATCCACTGCAGGGTGGAGTGATCTGAAAAGATCTTGAAGTGCCTTCCCAGGAGAAAGTGCTTCCAATGTTTTAGGGCACAGACAAGAGCATACAGCTCTTTCTCGTAGGTACAGTCCTGGAGCTTTTGAGTTTTGATCTTCTTACTCATAAACTCTACAGGCCGTACACCATTCCCATCATCCTGCTGAAGAACTGCCCCAATGCCATACTGACTAGCGTCAGTGGTCAGGATAAATGGCAGAGTGGGGTCAGGTAACATCAACACTGGCGCACGAGTCAAGGCCTTCTTGAGTCGTGTGAAGGCCAACTGACAGTGGAGGGACCAAAGAAAGGGAGTATCTTTCTTTGTTAGGTTGGTCAGGGGTGCAACCACTGCACAAAAGTTCCTGACAAACTTTCTGTAGTATGAGGCTAGACCCATGAAGGACCGGACATCCCTCACTGTCTGTGGCTGAGGCCACTCCTGAATAGCAGCAATCTTGGCTGCTTCAGGAGCCAGGCCATCTCCAAAGATTACATGACCCAGGGAGATGACGGAGGGAACTCCAAAAGAGGATTTCTCTCTATTGATCTTGTACTGGCTGTCGCGTAATGACTGAAGAAACAAAGCCAAATGCTCTGCATGTTCCCTGACATTTTTGTTGAATACCAGGATATCATCCAGGTAGACAACCATAAACTTGTCCAGGTAAGGCCTGAAAATGCGGTGCATCTCTGTCTGGAAGGTGCCTGGGGCATTGCAAAGTCCAAATGGCATGACCAGGAACTCGTAGGTCCCATACCTGGTCTTGAAGGTTGTCTTGTAGACATCCTCCTCTACCATCTCAATCTGGTGGTAGCCAGATTTGAGATCGACTTTGCTGAACATTGTGCAGCCCTGCACCATATCCAGAAGGTCATCGATCCTAGGAAGTGGCTTTGTACTCTTCCTAGTGATCTTGTTGAGACCCCTGTAGTCAATGCACATTCTGAACTCGCCATTCCCTTTGGGCACAAAGAGAACAGGTGCACCGAATTCATATGTGTTGGGTCTGATCCAGCCCTTGCTAGTCAGGGTCTCAAGCTGTCTTCTGAGCTCCTCAAGCTCAGCAGGGGACATCCTGTAGATGCGGCCCTTGCTCCAGGCAGCAGCTCGATGTGATGCTTGGTTGGCCGGTTGGGTAATCCAAAGGGCTCCTGCATCAGATCATTATATTGATCTACCACCTGTTGTATCTCAGAAGGACAGGAAACAGGAAGAGCATCTGTTTGCTTGACCAAAGCAATAAACAGATGCTCGTGGTGGTACTGGCGTGAGAGAGCATGAAACTCCCTCGCTCACAAGCAGTAGCAAGATGTCTTAGGGTGGTGATCAGCAACAACCATGCATGGCTGATACACCCCCTGGCTATTAGGTAACTCAACCTTTGGGATCTACCAGTCGATCCTTGGGTTGACTGCCTTCAGCCACTGCATCGAGAATACCAAGTCAAAGGGTAGCTCAGGGAAGATGTAGAAGTTCAGACTGTGTCTGACTTCTCCAGCACTATCGAAGGTCACAGGGATACCCTTGACCTTCTCCCTGATGTTGAGCATTGTAGAGTCACCAATCCTCACCAGCAGCGGTTGCTGCAGCTGCTGAACTTTCATGCCCGGATGCAGCTTTTTAACTGCACTGGGAGATATGAAGTTCCTGGTGGCTCCACAGTCCGATAGCCCAGTGATCCTGGTGCAGTTGATCAGGGGCCGAAGTAAGATGAGATCAAACTTGCTCTTTTTCTGTTCCTTCAGATGAAGGAAGAAGGCAGCAAGTGACTGAAGATCATCTTGCCCCGGGTCCTGATCCGGGTCAGGATCCTCATAACAGAAGGATGCTGCCCGCGCAGTCCCCAAACAAACATTGTCACATATAGTCTCAACTGAAACAGCTGCAGATTCACCTACCTGAGTAGCTGAAGGTGCAGCCCTGGGGGGAACTACAGTCCCCAGGGTCTGTTTCAGTTTTTTGATTGACCAGGGTCTGGCATGTAAGGGCAGTCCCTTAGGAAATGTTGTCCCTCACACCTCAGGCGGACCCCTCGCTCCTTTCTTCTTCTCCAGACTCCCTCCTGGATCTTGAGGTCATGCCAGGGGAGTGTGGTTGGGTTGAGAGGGTCAGCTGGCATCCGGACGTCTTTGGGCAGATTAGGGCGCTAAGGAAGAGGAAGGTCGATGTCCCTTTTCCTTCCCCTTGGCACTGGCTGAGGCTATGGTGGGGGAAAATTTCTTCTGCTGCTGCAGAACCCCCAAAACAGCCTGAGTCAGGGCTGCTGCAACATCTGTCTCAGCAGCAGATCCAGTCCCAGTTGAAGGTGCATCAGCCTAGGAATCTGAATCTGATCCTGATGCAGACCCCGCATGAGTGAAGGTTGCCTTTCCCTTTCTGCCACCTCTAGGGAAGGCACCTTTCCTTCTGTCAGAGGATGGGGCCTGGACATGAAGCTTTGCCTCCATGTCCAGGGCTGCGCGGCCAAAGGACCTCCAGTCCTTTTGCCCAGCGTTGTACAATGCAACAACAAACTTGTCAGGCGCTGCCCTGCAGAAGTTGGTCAGCAAATCATCAATTGACATGACCAACCCAAGGGTGGAGGTTAGTTGCTCGAATTCTGCAAACAAGGCCTGCAGGGTGCCGTGTATCGCTACTGTCCCAGGCGAGCAATCCTGTCAGCAGCCTTTCGGGCCCGCTCCTTGTCTGCAAATCGGTCCTCCAGGGCCTGCAAAAGTTTGCCCACCCAAGCCCAAATGCCCAGTCCTCCATGGACTGCTGCAGACTGCTGGAGGTGGAGGTGGCCCACTTCAATGCAGGTCCCTCCAGCAGTCCCAGAACAGTCGCCACCTTGGTCTGTTATGCACAAACAAAGCCCCTCAAATAGGCTTTGGTCCCAGCAGCCCAGTCCCCAACATCGGTCTTGGGGTCATCACCCCTGAACTTGTTGGGAGCAGGGATCTTGGGACCTCTTTGATCTCCTGCAGTTACAGCAGCATAGGTGGCTTTGCCTGAGGCTTTTTGGGAATGAGATGGTGACCGGGAAGAATGTGCTGAACCAGGGGGAGTTGAAGGACTTGAAGAAGGAGGAGAAGGTTTGGGTTTCCGTAGAGGGAGCTGAGGGGCAATCAGCTTGGCGGCTGACAACTGAGAAATCAAGTTCTGAATCGCATCCAAAATCTTTGACTGTTGAGCTACCAGGTCGTCAACCCGCCGCTCCAAACGCTCAAAACGGTCGTCCCAGTTTGTGAAGTGGGAACTGGTGATCTTGTACTCCAGGATGATCATCTCTGTCAGGTGTTTAGTCACCTGTGCACAACGCTCATCGGAGAGCACCTTGTCTAGCTGCTGCAACAGATATTCCCTTTTGGAATAATCTGTTGCAGCTTCTAGCTCAGCTGCCTCCTGACGTTCCAATTCTGCAAGAGGGTCCTGTTGTCACCTCAGCTGCTCTTGCAACTCCTCCTGCTGAGTAGCATTCAGAGGTGGAAAAGGAGTGGAGGTTGAAGGTTGTTGACCTTCCACCTTCATCACAACTTCCACCTGTGGCTGCTGCTGAGCCCCATGGTCCTGTTTCAAAATAATAAAACAAAAACAGCAACCTGAGTTTGCAGCGATGATCAGATTCCTTCAGACACCCCGGAATCGCTGCGGAACTCAGACACTGGAACAGGTGGGTGTATAGGCAATCACCGGTTTGGGTTGGAAGGTGTCTCTGGGGTCAGGTGTCAGACAGACTGTAAGTCCAGCAAAATCATACACACGATTTCCTTTTACTGACCCTGCACCACACTGGAGCTAATAGAGTCACTCCACTACTCTTCCAGAGACCCACTATATTTCCAGAGCCCACTAGAAAATAAGTGTACTAAGTGAGAATGATAGAATGTGGTTAGTACAGACAAAAGAGGTCAACCAGTTCAAGCGATTTAGACAGATACCCTGTATCCTGACTCAGACTCTAATTTGGACCCTGTTGACTCTGGCGGCCATACCCTAGGGTATGGCGAAGTATAGTATTCAATGTACCCAGTGAAGTACTGGAAATCCAATCATGCGATTCTGCAGTATTGCCTATTTTCAATTTGCGATTGACTGGGGACGTACAGATTTGAATTCTAGCGGACAGAATTGAAGTTATGACTGACCCTTATTAGCACAAGCTATAAATAGACTCAACGCAAAACTGGAATTCACATTATCACTACCTTTCTAGTGCAGAATTCACAATTTGAGCATCCCAGAATAATCGCAATGCATTAGAGCAGTCACATAACAATTTGGATCAGAAAGAGTCAATAGAGGGTTAGAAATGAGCAGAGAGAGGTAGGGGAGAGATGGCTATGGTTGTCATGCAATCTGCGATTTTCACATCCAGTCACTGACAGACAGATAGACCATTATAATTGACTAATCTAATCCTATCTAGATCGCTATGCAGGTAGGTGCATGGAACGGATTCACTTTCAAAGAGTATCGCAGGTGTTGATGAAGATCTGGCTATGGCAGATGATGACCCTTATCTCGCCAATCTCTTCCAGATATCCCTCCTGAGAATCCCACGCACAAAACTGCTCCAAACTTGTTGATCCTCCTCAGGATCCTGTAGCGCTTCACTCCCTCAACCAAGATCCCTCCAGATAGCCAACAGGAAAATATCTCGCCACAGTGCCTGGTAGCCACTGATGCTAAAAATAGCCCCAGATGGGGTTATTTCTTCAGGAGATTGATATAGTGTGTCAATCTCCTTCAGCGCTACCCAGGGATGATGCCGCTCAAGGTTTCCTGATGTCTTTAGAGGTAGTTTCGCCACTCTGGGGTACCTCGCAATACCACCCTCACGGTTGGCTATGGCGAATTAGCCCTGTACTCGCCGCTTCATGACAAGCGCCCTGACAGGCTCAGTGCGCTTGCTCAGTGCATTCACTAAACACTTGAATCCACCGCTGAAAGTCTTCTTCCCTGCTGACTCAGTACTGGGGAAGATGAATCGCCATGAAACTCTCGCCAGTAGATCGCCAGATAAAGAAGATGCCTCAGTGCGCTCAACCCTCATTGTCCCAATTTTGATCCCAACTCCGATACCAACTGTTATGAACTTGGTTGTCTGACGATTTTACCGCCACTCACACACAGACAATCTCATACACGCCCATATATGCATAAGAGAAGGGGGAGAGGAGACAGAGTCCACACTGCACACAAATCAGAGTAGGTAGCGGAATACAGCTATGCACAGAAGGGGAGAAGACACATAGTGTTTCTCTCTCACTGACAAACTCCCAACAACCAATCACAAGTAGAACCTGAAAGGATAACAATTGAAATTGCACTGATGATGAGCCAACTCAAACAATTATCGTAACAGAGTTTGTTCCAGTATCTCGCCACTCTCAGAACTCACACCAAACTCTCTATCCTACACCCAGTTAGTAGCGCCACATCAGAATGGCCTCCCAGAGGCCAGCGCCAACCACCCCGATGAAGAACAGGTCTTGCGATGAAGTCTTCAGCGCCAATGGACAACTCGGACGAAGGAACAGGCAGCTATGGCTGCCACCACCCACGAGTACACAGTGTAGAGCCTCGATGTAGCCCGGCCAGACGCAGATACCCCAACGGTAGATGCGTTGAGGATGCCCCAGCTACGGCAGACTCAGAGTGGGCCGAGTATGGCTGCTATCAACATCGAGGTCTCAAGATGCTGCCTGCAGACCGTCACCGCCACCAACTTGCTTGGCTTCTCCAACGCTGCTTCGCGAGAAATAAACTGCCAAAAGTCCTGAACCAATGGGCCTAACCTATCTATAGACTACACTAGACCTAGACCAGACTGACTGACCGACCGGTACCGTTGCTGTTTCAGCCTCTCGGCCTCTACCGGACCCGGCTATAGGCTATAGGACCGTCTATCAGTATACGCCACTTAGGGCCTGTTTGTCCTAGGGGTAGCCCGGGCCTGCTATACGCAGTTAGGGTAGCTGTAGGAATTCGAGTTAGTAATGGGCCTATTTTTCCTCGGATTTGCAGATATGTCCCCCACGAATTCCCTTGCGAATCTAACCTACTGCTGTACTATACAGCCTTGCAGTCAGT